CTCTCTGTGTGAAACTGACAAATCTACAGAAGGACCTACTCAAGACTGGCAAGTGCTGACCCTTACCATCTTGGTGAAGATGCCTAGGGCTGCTGGAAAGGCCTAACCTGGAGCTGAGCTATCCCGTATCTCTTCGGTGAAAGAGTCTCGGGTTCACGGCTCACTAGTAGGCTCTACTTCCTTGTCCTATGACCTTTGTCTTGGTCTTGCCCCGGCCCTTCAGAGTGTCTTTGGCCTTGCCCTTCTGCCGATTTGCTTCTTGCCTTTCTCTTCTGTTCCTGCTTCTTATCTTCTTGGCAGGGAACGGAACATATCGTCTCCTTTCACTGTTAGTGGTGAGGTTTGGACGGAAAGTGAAGAAGAGGATAGTATGGCTGTCCTTATCCCTGGGGCCCAGGAACAGAGTCTCCAGCCCAGCATACATCAGGAATTCGCTGACATTGAAGATGTACTCATATTCGGCTGGAGGATGATTTGACCACTTGTCAAAGCTTTGGCTATGACCCCATTCAATGACACAAGCAACCATGCAATCTCCCTCAGGAGCATCTGGAGGATATCGATCCACAATCTCATTCCAAGGGCGACCAAAATTTGTCTCGAAGTAGCGGAGGTTCTCTGTGGTATTGCCTGAAGTGAACCTAAGCTTGGGGCTTACATTTAGGTCTCCTTCCTGGCACGAGATGAAACCATCCCTGAAGGACTTGCAAACCTCTTGGAACAAAGATTGTTCATTCGAGGATGACTTCTGGTTGCTGCCTCCAAAACGGTATGCTGAGGAATTACCGTCACCCCCAATGATGTCCACTTGATAGTGGAAGCAGTCTGCTACCATTGAGCCTAGGAGCTCCCCACATACAGCTGGCGAGCTCATAGCATAAGAACTATCCAGGTGGAAGGAGCAGGTGCGGATGACGTGCAAACCAGCCCTATTAACCTTATCCTTATTAGGGTTGTCTTCCTTAAGGAGCTCCTTTTGGGCTACCTTGTCGTTGGACAAGCCTGCCCTTTCCCACTCTTCTCTGCTTGGCTCATCTCCGAAGCAACATTCAAATATGGCATACGAAAGAGGAGTTTCCTTTGCTCTTTTGATTGTCCTAGTGCCTGCAATGTGGCGCACATAGGATCCTGGCCGAGGATTTGCCCGGATGGCACAAAGAAGAGTACGGTCAGGGCTTGTGGCTAACATGCAACCCTTTTCCTCTAGCACATCCTTTTCAAGTTGGCGAATAGTGCTGGCCTCTTGCAACAGCAGGACGTGAGCGCTAATATTGGAAAGGAAATGCAAGAACAGATTTCCAGCAGTAGGATCTGCCTTATGCTCTTTGTAGGTCCCTTCCCAATCAATCAGGTGATGGAAGCATTGCGGAGTGGAGCGCTTCCTTGATCTTTCCCAGTTACCAAGGTTCAGGACACAAACGGACAGATGTCCCTGGCTCCTACTAACAGTCCTATCCCTAACAACCTTAGTTGAGGCAGGCATACTGGATGAACTGCTTGGACCAGGTTCATCAGCCACCTTGTGGAAAGTATATCAATTGGCGGAACCTGCGTGGGATTGCAGGTGGAGAATCCCTAGCTAAGGCTTCTGGGGTTAAGGTAGTCTCAGGTCCCCAAAACCTATAGGCGGCATCATGAACCCTAGGGATATGATGCTGGTCCGGCACCCTTGAAGAGAGTCCATAACCATGCGCATAGTAATACCCAGCGTTGGGTTTTATTATACGCTCTAACACAATGCTGCCCCAAACTCTGCCTAGTTCAAAGGCATCCAGGAAAATCTTGATAAGATATCCTGAGAGAGGATGGCACAGCCACTCAAGCTTGTCTGCAACATCAAGCCTGTTGCGGATTCCATCAGGAAGGCTATCATACTCCATCAAATGCACACGGGGTTCATCATAATCTCCACGGGCCTCAACCCTAGAACCATCACGCCCTTGAATCCAAAGTTTAGTGAATCCCTTCTCCCACAGATACCAGGGATTGCAGGTAACCATGTTGACGGAGGAGAGGAAACGTTTCAACTCTTTGGCATTTTCATCTCGAGTCTTGAGGACGCCGTCTATCTCGTCTGTGGACGAGTCTGGCGGCCTGACTCGAGTAGGAGGCGGCGGCATAGGCGGATCACGAGGAATCTGGTTGCGAAAGTGCTCTGGCGGTGTAGTGTAAAGAGGCTCCAGGTAAGCCCTGGGAACATCACTCATAGCGAGTACCACACTGTTGGGTGTGCCTCTCAGCTGGAATCCATCTTGAAGGAATTTCCTATAATTAAGATTCCAATAGTGAATGTCTCTGCCCCTTCGAATCACCGTGCCATGGCGAGGTAGTGTGACTCCTCCGGCATACACAAAGTGTACGCCGATGCGCCCTTTTCCATGGCCAATGCCGTGAGAGTACGGTGATAGAACCAAACCGTGGGCATTAATGGACTGATAATTCACATTGGAGGAGGCATGAAAGATATACCCCATATCACTGCAGGCCTTGACGTCTAGCAGCTCTCCAAGCGCTGACGGATCATAACTCCTTGGCAGGCTGCTGTGTCCCTGAACTGCCCTAACCTTGATATGGAACCCTAAGTCTTCAACCCCAGCAGGAATTAGCTTCTTAGGGAAAATGTTGAAGATAAACCGGGCCTTATCATTGCGTCCATACCTTTAAACCAAGCACTGTTGATTACATGCTCAGGGTAGTCAGGCTCGTCCCCCACATAGGGGACACCAAACCCCTTCACAGCAGGGTTTAACAGCACGGCATCGGACGACATCTCGCCGGTGAGCGAGTCCTCGTCCCTAGCTGGCTGTAAATGCTTGAGTGACAGACAGTGGCTGCGGAGACGCAGGCACAAATTTACAAAAGAGACTGAAAATTCTCCGCAAGGAAGAAAGCTACCTACACGGAGGTGCAGCCTGCTAACTACTCACAGACTTTCTAACATGAGGCATATTTCCTTATATATTTCTGGGAGAAGATTCAGCTCCTTAGTCAGCCAAGCAAGTGCGAAGGCTTTGTGTTCCATCAAGGACCTAAAGGCAGGATGAGAATCAATCTCCTTGATATCACCACTCATAACAGAATCTACCAAGTTCCTACAGTTAGCACTGGCCCTAGTGAGACAATCTGCCAGACAACGCTCTGTGCGGACATGAGATAGATCTGCAATAGCACCCGAGCAGGCCTCCTTCCTAAGCATTTGAATCATGTGAATTGTTTCTTGCTGCTCTGGAACATGAGTAGTAGAGGCCGTAGTAACAAGATTATTGGCATCTGCGCGCATGTGAATGCTAGCATCAGAACCAGAAATATCCTTCCACAACCCTCTTAACATTTGACAAGTACCAAAACATTTCATCAAAGCATACAACTCAGCAACAGTGGTACTCAAAGTAGTCCGCTTGATTTTGGTTGATTCGAAGAACACAAGCGAGCCACGGGTATCACGACTATTCTTTTGACGCTGTTCAGCGAGAAAAACAGTCATTCCACGTTGCGAGGACTTGTCAGAATTGTTTCGGAACGCGGCGTCCGGAATTCCGAGGATTCGTGGATCGGTTTTCAACGGCCAAAAACGAAGCTCGGCAGGTTCATTTTTGATCTGACGACACAGCTTATTTAGTGCCCGGCAGTCTCCTATTGTGGGTGAGGCAGAAGCTGAAGCACAACGGGAGAATTGATAACAGGCCTGGAACTGAGTTCTAGACTGCAACCAATTGATACTGCCGAAAAGGGATCTAAAAGCTGTGTGCATCTCCTTACTACACCCTTCCGAGTCGGAGGACCCGCGTGGGATAGAGATCTCTTCTAACTCTTCAACATTTAACTTTTGGGTGACACCTATCTATTTCTTCTTCTTGGTCTTGTCATCAAACACCCAAGCAACTCTCTGTCCTGTGAACATGATGTCATTGACATCCTCATGACCGATAGAGAAATGCTTGCGTACTGTCTTAACAAACCCATCTAGGAAACTCTTGTCACCGGTAATCATGAGATCATCAGCATGCAAGGACAAAACACCAATAGGCTTCCTACCTCTACTGGGACTGCCATGAACAGGATCAACAAAGTGTTCCAACAGTTCATCAACTACTTCAGGAGTAAGTTGAGGCTTGTCCAAAGTAGCTTGATAGGAGGACTTCTCAGGTAAATAAAGGGAGACAAGAATCTCAACTTCTTCTTCTAGAAAATCTTGCTTACCTCCATTTCTGAGATCAGTGCTCTGTTCTATAACCCACCAGGTACCTTGTCGGAAGATGCAGGAAACTGTAAAGGGGTAGTCCTTAGTCTTATAGGTCGGTTCAGGGGTCCTAAGAGCCTTGGCCCTATGAGTAACCTGAGCCTGACCATTAAGGAAAGGAAACCATCCCTTCTTAAGTCGAATCTAGGAACTTTAGAAGGGCCTCATCTACAACAGGTCTCCACGCATACTCTGTGACCTTACGAGTCGCAAGTGCATGGGCGATGTCGGGATAATCTTCAACGGACCTTTCCTCCGTATGGCCGGAGGTAACTGACGGATCCTTCACTACGCAGGACTTAAGGAAGTGACAAAAGTCGGCTTCCTCTTCGGTGGAAGAGCCTGCCGCAATTTCAGCCGTCTTGTCGGCCGAGTTGGGCTGGGCTTCAACCTTCGGTGCCAGGCTCCTTCATAGCAGACATAGGTACACCTATCTGCCCTAGTAGGGACCAAACCACAGGCTCTAATGAATTTATCAGTTCCACCACCTTCTTGGAGCATCATTAAGGCCATAGACAGGTCTCATACAATATCCTACTAGATAAGGAGGCAGACCTAAGTCACTAGGAAGTTGAATAATGACACCCCTTCGCGATAAATTGTAGTGTTCCCCCTGAAGGAACGCAGCTTTAAGGTCCAAATGCAACAAATCCCACAAAGAACTGGCAGCCTGCTGACAGACGAGACGAAAACCATACCGGGTAGCAGTGGGAGAGTCAGTTTGTTGCTCCCAACCATGCTTATCCTGAAAACCCCTACAGACCCATCTAGCCTTGAACTTGGAGAAATTACCGTCCTTGTCAACTTTAACGGTAAGAACCCAGCGGCCCGTAAGGTAATTGGTACCCCCAGGTCCAAACTTGAGAGTACGCTTATCCAGGAAGCGGATGGCACGATTGTCTAAATAACTCTTAAACTCTTCCAGCTTAGCACGACGAATTTGCTTAGCATACTTACGCTGCATTTCTTGGGTAATAACCCCGGCCTTATAACTTTCCCGGACAACAATGTCATAAAATCTTCAAAGGACTCATCACCTAGAAGAGGAATATCGGGAAAGGAGTGACCCTTAGGAACAGCGAAGAAAAACACGTCTTCGGATGACAATCCCTGGCCCTCATAGTCAATGGTGGCATCAGAATCAGAATTCGAATCCGGCGCAGCCTGTTCCCCCGGAGTATCTGGCTCAGGAGACTGAGCAATGGGAAATTCTCCCTCTGTAACTGGAAGGCCTGGCCGGCTGTTAGAAGAAGCCGCGTCAGGATGCGGCGCTCACCATCTTCCGGAAGTGAAGGCAGTTTATCCACTTTGGCCGGCTGCTGCTGACCCGGCAAATGAATGACCGGCTCGCGCGCCTTGGCCTTGGCCGCACGTGACTTTTTCACCGGCACACGTGGCATACGTGCTGGACGTTGTTCATGCGGATCCAAAGGTATGATTTTCTTCGGAGGTGACTGTGTGCGCGGAGAATCAGCCGGCGGCGGAAGTGGCGGATCGTCTGGCGGATATGAAGGTGTCGGAGCGCTCGTGCCCTGATGTGACAACGGTACGTCCGGATCGGAATAACCTGGTGTGAGATTGAGAGAAAACCTCAAGTTACGCATCTGCGGAAGCGACATAAGGAATGGCACAGTAGGCTTGATTTCATACCACAAGCAGGTGTTGTGGCCTTGCCTGTCGATGTGCTGGCGAAAGTGGTTCACTGCTGTCCTAGAACCATAGCCTTAGTACACCCTAAATCTAAGATAACCTTAGTAGGGGACATATCGACTACTTGCAAGGCTGCAGGAGAGGCCATCATGGCTTCATCATGTTCTTCAGGCTCATCTTCATCATCATCATCTGACAAGGAGTCAGGTGAGCGAGGCTCAAAATCCTCTAGAAGGTGGTGTATCGCCTGGAACACGAGTTCGTGGACGAAACATTTCATCCGGATCAGGTTCTCTCCAATGCCTGATCTCATCATCGCCTAGGTCGCCTACACCCGCTCCATCATCTTCTCCTGCAGGATAACCTAATGCTGCATGTATGGCTTCTTGTTGTCTACGCCATTCATGCCATCCATCAGGAGCATGATCATCTTCATCTGAGGAATGGGTACCAGGCGGTTGCACCTGCCTCCCTTTCCCCTTGTCGCTTCTGAACTCAAGAGTGTAGGCGGGCTTTCCTTTGACGATGGGACCTCCTTTACCTTTGCCTATCACATACCTCTGAGAGTGCACAACATCATTAGGAAGTTCAAAAGATTGCTGTGGAAGAGTAAGCACATTATCATCTGGCGCAAGTTCCTCCTCTGCTGGCTGATCTGACTGACCAAAATGATGTGCATACCAAGGGGGAGTTAAATAGGTCGCATCCTTGCCCTTACCTTTGGACATGGGAAAGGGCAAAACAGGCACAGGATTGACATTGCCTGAGCTGGAACTGGCTGATTCCCCACTGTTGAGTGAGCCTCCAAGCAACGCAAAAGGTTCCTGGTCGCTCGTCGGAGAGAAAACCATGAGGAACCCCTGACCATAGAGAGACCTATGCTGATTCCTAGACATTCTTTGGTAAAGCTCCCCGGAGGTATGAGAACAATATGCATCACAATCATACCGGAGTGCTGAAGGTGAAATCCTCATGTTTGGACACATAGCATCTGAGGTCAGAGCGTTCTCTGGATTTGTCCACTCTTCAGCAGCATCAGAACCAGAGTCGGAAGTGTCCGGTGACGGCGGTCCTACCGTTCGGCGAAGTTCCTCTATCAGAGCGTAGTAAAGCCAAATCGGTATGAGCCAATCGTCGAGCAGAACGTTATAACCCTCCTCGCTGAGTGAGTGCGCGAGAGTGGCTTCCTGAGTTACCTGGTGGAGATCACGGCGCCACACAATAAACATTATGTTTTTATGACTGTACCTCCGCACCTCAAACTTGAACCTATGACGGAAAATATTCCAGGGAACCCTTACCTCGTGTAAAGCTTCGGGGTAACCATTCGGGTCTAAAATAGGCCCATGGGCTCCTGGAATAGTTCCCGCGTTCCTAGGATAAACCGTAAGGGTTTGGGTGCATCTTTCATGAGTCAAACGACCAACTTGCTCACGCGGAAGAGGAGGCCAAGGAGAGAAGTCATCACTGTCAGGTTCTTCCTCGGCGACAGCTACAGACTCTTCCTCGGCCTGTTCGGCAACACCGGCAGGTCCCTCATCGTTGGATGAGCCTCCTTCTGCAGGCTCTTCCTCGGAACCTGAAGAGGAAAAGGCGACAAGCCGACCATCAGAACTGCGCAAAACAGCGCGTATTTGACCACGCCTGTTGGGAGCGTACATTGGAATGCCAGGCGGGGGAGCCCGCATTCCCTGTGGTTCAGGCTGACCAGGTTGCTGAATGAGTGCCTTACCCTTAGCCCTTCCTTTTGTTCTATACCACACACGGCCCTTACCCTTGTAATGGGGAAGTATGTAGTAAAACCCAAACTGGCCAAGATCATGCCCAAACTCATCAATCCACATCCTAGATCGTGGCGTAAGGCCAAGTTCCCTAGGAGTAGAGTAGTGATGCAGGGCAATGATCCCTAGAGAAGGATCCTGAGGAGGAAGATAGATCCGTTGAAGCACAATTGGGGACACGCCAAGGTTGCGGTAAGGCTGGCTGTCAGGAGGAGGACGGCCGATGTTGTCATCATCTATATTGCTCCACTCGTCGAAATCCTCATCAAAGCAATTAGGGTAAACAAGCCCGATGCTCGAGGAGTTCCCACATGATGCATAGCAAAGAAAGAGGAAGGCAACGAAGGGGCATCTACCGTAGCTTGAGCCTCAGGTTGCGAAGAAGCTACATGAGAGCTACCTTTCTTGTCCTTACCGTCTTTACCCTTCTTACCTTTCTGACCTTTCTTGCCTTTACCTTTAGATTTATAGTTTTCTGCATGTTCATGTGCTGATTTCTGATCCCATGACTGCCATGAATCTGCTGCGTCTGGCTGGCTTG